GGTGTGACCCAAAAAAAAAGCAAATAAATAAATAAATATATATATATATATATATATATATATATATACTATAATGCTGTCCTCCCATTGTTGATTGATTTGCTCGAGCAGGCCCAGTAACATCTCCATTTTTTTGAGACTTGCTGTTACTGTGTTTGGCATATTGAATTTGTCACGGGCAGCTTGCCAGGCTTTGCCGTGCGGGCAAAATACTCTCGGTAGCTTGCCTGGCTCTCCGAGATGGGCAGAGGAATCAAACCCGGCTTGGCCAGGCTGGCTGCACGCAAGACAAACGCTCTGCCACTGTGCTATCGCTCCAGCCCTAAATAAATAAATAAAAATTAAAAATAAATAAATAAATAAATAAAAGCTTGAGAGATAGTATAGTACTAGGGTACTTGTGCACATCAAACAGCTCATCCCAGCTCTAACTCTGACACTGCACATGGCCTGAGAAACTCCAGAAATAAGCAATCCTTGAGCACAGAACCAGAGTAAGCTGCAGAGGGTTTAACAAATTCTCCTCCCCAGAAGGTTTTCATAAATAATTCCTGGGGACCAGTGAGATGGCTCAGGGGCTGAGCCCTCTATTGCCTGCAGAAGGACTGTCCCCACCCCTGGCACCACATGGTCCCCCAAAACCGAACAGGACAGCACCAAGTCAGGAGAACCCCTGAACACTGCGTGGGTATGGCTTCAAAACAGAAAGAAAGAACTCACGGGACCACAATTTTATTTTTTTTTAATGTAGGAGTACTGCTATTTATTCAGCCACTGATTAGCTGATTGAATTGGGCATGAACTCCACCTTATTTTTTTTCATAATTTTATTTTATTTATTTTTCTTCATATGTTTATTTATTGAATCACTGTGGAAAAAGTTACTAAGCTTTCAGGTTTAAGTCTCGATCATACAATGATCAAACACCTTTCCCTTCACCAGTACTCATTTTTCACCACCAAGAACCCCAATATACCCCCCCTCCCACCCCTCCCAATGCCTGTGAGGCAGATGATTTCCACTGAACTCTTCTCTACATTGATTACATCATTATTTTGACAAAAGATGCACCATTATTGTTTAGAATTCCCCCCCCCCAACAATCAGAATTGCTGAAAAGGCATTGTGAAATACTTTGTTTTCTGTAACTGGTTATGAGAATCATATAATGTCATGCGGTCACGATTTTGGATTTCTGCAAAGAGCCAGATAATTACGAGATTGGTTTCTGTGCGTCTGGTGTTATGGCTGTGCTGGAGAGTCACTCAGGGAGGCAACTTGTGACCTCGGTAGGGCGTGAAGAATGAGCTGGTACTGCCCCACTTCCCATGAGACTGCAGTTGCCCTGTCACTGCCGGCTTGTACCTGGCTTTCCTAAAAGCTCTGAGGCGGCGGCCACCTTGCTGCCAGGGGGGAAAAGGTGGAAGGGAGCAACACCCTTTCCCTCCCAGGGAGGCATGGCGCCGTAGTTTAATGCATGGTCCATTCACTTTTTTGCCACAAGCTGCTGGGCTCTGGATTAAGTTTTTTTGCCTCTGGAGCCATGGCCGTGCTGGAGAGCCGCTTGTGGGGGGCAACTCGTCGGGACCACAATTTTAAAGACCAGATTTTGCTTGCATGAGACCTGGGTTCGATCGTCAGCTGTTGCTGAGCTCTGTGAGGAGAGAGCTCTTATGGCCAATGAACTTGAGAGCTTCTGTCAGTGTCAACTCCAGGAAAAAGCCAGATCCAAGGGCCACATAGATCCGTGAAGCATCTGGGACCACTGTATCAATGAAGAAGTTACAGCCCAAATCCACCTGCATATATAACTCCGAGCGATTTGTTTCCTGGATTTGCTCAATGAATTTCTCAATTGAAGGTATTTGGCCAGCTGCTCATATACCTTGTCAAGATGGTCTAGCACCTCTTGCAGGTCCTGCGGTAGCACATTACTGATAAAGGTCTCATAGTGCAGCAATTTCTTCCCCAAGGGATCCACTGCCCGCTGTTTGGGGGGTGTCACCATGATGGGCTCCTTAGGACCACCAGCAATACGACTGATGGCCAAGACACATGAATGTTTTGAAAAATTCTTTAGGAGGCTGGAGTGATAGTACAGAGGGTAAGGTACTTGCCTTGCATGTAGCTGACCCAGGTTTGATCCCTGGCACCACATTTGGTGCCCTGAGCTTGCCAGCAGTGACCCTGAGCTGAGAGCAAGGAGTCCTAAGCACTGCTGGTGTGCCCCCCCCCCCCCAAAGATATTCTTAGCATCATGATTTGGAGTATAAATAGTAATGCTTCAAGCACCAGCGGCTGCCCCATCAGTCACCAGCCACCTGGAGCCTCCGCCATTGTGTTTGACTCCCAGTTGCCCCTCCCAGCCCTTCTCCTCTTCGTTGTCACTGGTCGTTGTTTATTCCCTTCCTTGTTTCTTTACACTCTGGAACCAGGGAATGAAAGAGACTCTGCGGTGTGGTCCCCCCCTCTCTTTGACTCACTTCACTCAGCTTCATGTCCTCCATTTTTTCTCGTTGCTGAGTAACATTTTCATTCTGTAGAGATGACACAACTTCTTCATCCCCTCCTCTCCTCTGTCAATCAGGCTGTATCTGGATCATGGCCATTGTGAATAGCCCTTCAGTGAACATAGGAGCACAAATCACTTTTCAAACAAACATCTTGGGCAGGGGCAGGGGGCGCTCTAGGGATACATGCCAAGGAATCTATGAGTGTTTGCAGTAAAGGTGGAGTTCTTTGAGTGCTTTTATTATTATGATTATTGTTTGGTTAAGAAGTAGAATTTATGTTAGTGGGTGGGCGGAGGTGGCTGAGTGCTGGGGTGAGGATGGAGGACTGGGGTGCAGGGCAGTCCTGCATTTGGTGTGGATGGGCTGGATGATTTGACCTAGGTGGACCCTGGCCACTGTGCCCTGGGGCTTCCCAAAGGCCCCTCTCCCCCATATGCCGGTTTGGAGCCTGAGATTGGGGCAGTATGAGAGCAGAGAGGATTGTCTGTGGCAAAGGCCAGTGATGCTGTCTGCGGCCAGGCACACTGGCCCCAGGGCAGTGTCCTTGAGTGCTCTTGGAGTCCCACTAAGGATAAGGAAGATGGGCCCAGCAAGATACTACATCAGGTAAGGCTTTTGCTCTGCATGCCCCTGACCCGGATTCAATCTCCAGCATTACATACAGGTCCCCAGAAACCTGCTAGGAGTTATCCCTGAGCACAGAGCCAGGAGTAAATCTGAGCACTGCTGGGTATGTTCTGACCCCCCCCCCCCCCGCCAAAAAAAAAAAAAAAAAAAAAAACAAACAAAGGCTGATGGAGAGGACAGCCAAGTGTGAGGTCAATTTCTACAGGTTTCCTGCAACCAGCTGATGCTTACAGGACATTGGGGGATCCTGTTGGGGAGAGGGGTTCTCTTCCACTGAAAGACGTCAGGACGGTGGGGGGGGGGTTCGGGGGTTTGGTGGGTATGACGGAGGGCAAGCCAAGGGACAGGCTAAGCAATAGAATTGTGCATTCTGGCTCTCTGCTCACCAGGGAAAGATTTGGGGAGACCCAACAGCGACAGGGAGCGGGGAGAAGGAGGAAGGGAACTGTCCCCTCCTCTTGGCAGATTTCCAACCTAGATGCAGGAAGAGGAGGAAAAAAAAACAAGGAGAACCTAGAAGGGAGAACCCAAGGGTGGAAAATACCTGGTAGAGGCTAGGGGAGAAGGTAGGGTGCAGGCTTTGGGCACGCACTTGAGTTAGGAAAGAGAAGCACCTTGGGGCACGAGGGACTGCACTGCAGTGGCTGTCAAAAACATTCCAGTTTCCATAGTGAAGGGATAGGTGTGGGACACTGTGTGACTAAGACTCAACCATCAGCAACTTTGCAACTGTATCTCATGGTGATGCAATTAAGAAACATTAGAGGGGCTGGAGCAATAGCACAGCAGGTAGGGCGCTTGCCTTGAATGCGGCCAACCTGGGTTCGATTCCCAGCATCCTATATGGTCCCGGAGCACTGCCAGGACTAATTCCTGAGTGCATGAGCCAGGAGTAACCCCTGTGCAATGCCGGATGTGACCCAAAAAGAAAAAAAAAAAAGAAACATTAGAACACCAAAAAACTGTGTTTGTAGCTGGAAGCCTGTCTCACGGTGTGTGTGTGGGGGGGGGGGGGGGGGAAGGAGAGAAGGCAGCTGGAATAGAGAAGGGATCACTAAGTCATTGATGGTTGGAGGGATCATTCAGGACGGGAGATATGTGCTAAAAGTAGATAAAGGACCAAACGTGATAGCCTCTCAGTATCTGTATTGCAAACCATAATGCCCAAAAGTAGAGAGAGAGTATTGGGAGGAAATGTCTACCATGGAGGCAGGGGGAGGGTTGGAAAGGGGGGGAGGTTATACTGGGGACGTTTGTGGTGAAGACAAATGTGCACTGGTGGAGGGATGGGTGTTTATCATTGTATGACTGAACCTCAAACATGAAAGCTTTGTAACTGTATCTCAGTGATTCAATTTAAAAAAAACCACAAACAAAAAAATGTGTTATCCTTCTGTCTGCATATCTGGCGCCTCCTGGCATGCCCCTGTCTCGCATTAGACCCCCGCAGCTCCACATGGTCCCACTCACCAGAGGTCACTCTGGGCACAGAGCCCGGGCAGCGGAGCGCCCCTGTGCATCAGGGAAGAAAAGTCCAGAAGCTCCTGCAAGGCTAGTCCTTGGAGCTGGCTGGAAAGCACAGGAGCCACGCCTTCCTGAATCTCCTGGGTCAAGCCAGTGGCAGCGCCTTTGGGGGGTGTTGGCAGCGCACCCCAGTGCAACGTTCTCGCCCCCAGCTGCGCGTTGCCTCAGTTCGCTCCAGCGACGGACAGCGGGTTGACCATGCTGGAGGGTACGGAAAGGGAGAGGAGGAGCTGGGGGAGGAGCCCGGGTGGCCCCAGTCAGAGAACGGGCGGGGCGGAAGGCCAGAGCTGCGCGGGGTCGGAGCTGTGGGCGGGGCCCCAGCGGCGCAGAGCGGGCACGCCGAGCGCGGCCCCAGCAAAGAGGCCCGCGCTGGACATGGCCGCTTGCTGCCCACCGCCGTGGCTTCTGAGAGTCCTGATCGCGCTCTCCCTGGCGCGTGCGGTCTGTGAGTGGACGCGGATTCCCGCGCGCGGGACGGGCGGAGACGGGGGGCCCGGACGGAGAGGGGAACTCGGGCGGAGAGGGGATCCGGGCGAAGAGTGGGGCCGGCCGGAGAGGGAGAGGGGACCCGGGCAGAGAGGGGGGGTGGGCGCGGAGAGGGGCCGGAGCGGCCGTCATTTGGTCCCGCTGCGGTACGGACACGGAAGGACCCGTCGAACTTTGTCCGGGACACGGCACCGGGAGTAGGGAAACGGCTCGGGCAGGCGTCTCGGGCCTTAGGGACCGATCAGGACTGGTCGAGTGGGTGAGGGGTGCTCAGGCGTCAGGTCCCTGGGCGGCCCGGTCCCCCGCCGGCCCGCGCGCTCAGGGGGTGCTCTCCTGGTTCCAGCCCGGCGGTGCCGGAAGGGGTGAGCACCCAGCGCCAACACCCCGGGAGGGCCAACACCCCGCCTCGCCCGTCCGCAAGCCCGCCGGGCTCGGGGTTCCGTTCTCCCCGCCCTCATCCTGCGCGCTGCCGCCGTGGGGCACCCAAACCCTTTCCTCTCCTCGGGGCTGCCCGTCGTGAGGCCAGCCCCCCCCCCCCCCCATCCCCCGGCGGACAGCGGGCGGGCTATAGCCGGGCTCGGGAACCGAATGCCGCGCGCTGGGAGCGCAGGGGACGCGCCGGGACTTCATCAGGAAGCAGAGCAGCAGGAACTGGGCAGGGAGGACGTTGGACCCGTTGCCAACAGGCCTTGCCCCCACCCGGGCCTGTTACAGCCAGAGCGCCACTCACCTGATGGAGGGCTTAAGCTAGCTTCTTTTTGTTTCTTAAATTGAATCATCATGAGATACAGTTACAAAGCTTTCCTGTTACAAAGTTTCAGTGATACTATGGTGGAAGACCCACCCCCCCCCACCTGCGAGTAATGGGGAACGCCCATTCCACCACCAAGGTCTCCAGTATTCCTCCCGCCACCCCCACTGCGCCCACCGTGTCCCACCCCCTGCCTCTGTGGCAGGCACCTTACGGTTTGCAATACAGATACTGAGAAATTATCATGTTTGGTCCATAGCCTACTTTCAGCACACATCTCCCATTCTCAGCGATCCCTCCAACCGTCATTGATTTAGTGGTCCCTTCTCTATCCCTAATATATCTTTTAAGCCTGAGTTTCTTTTGCCTTGTAAAATCTTTTCAATTTGATATTTCATTTTTTTGTCTTTCTTATTTTTGCCAGTGGAATCAAACCATAGTTTTGCCTATATTTGACTTAGTTCGTTTTAGCATAGTTTAGCTTACTTGGTTACAATAGTATTGACGTTCACGGTGTTCATGTACTTCAGATGAATATTTGTTGCCCCCCCACCCCAAATCTTTCACCCATCTTGTAGCATCCAGTAGTGATTTCCCCTGCCCCAAGTCCATTATCACTAAAATATTTCCATTCCACATCATTGACAGTCTTTCGTAATGAAGTTTTTGTATCTTCCTTTTAACTTGTATTTTCATGTTAGTATAGTCTCAGATATTTTTGAAGGTATGGGAATTACTGATATTACCCACTTTGATGTTCAAATTTGATCCTATATTTGGAAAAATGGCAACCCACTTCAGGTCTCCATGTTCTTTGTCATGTTTCCATGATTTTTTTGAGTACTTTATCACTTTATGACACAAAAAAGAGATTCTGGACTTGATAGCTGTTCCTCTTAGAAAGACTATATTTAGAAATCAGGGTGTGGTTGCTGATTTGCTCAAGGCCACTGGAACAGTGACTTCTTACAGTTTGAAGAACTTAGTGATAAATTTGTTTAGGGGCCACATCCAGCTGTCCTTGGGGCTTACTCCTAGCTCTGTGCTCAGAAATCGCTCCTTTTTTTTTTTTTTTTTGGTTTGTTGGTCACACCCTGCGATACACAGGGTTTACTCCTGGCTCTGCACTCAGGAATTAATCCTGGCAGTGCTCGGGGAATCATATGGGTTGCTGGGAATTGAACCTGTGTTGACCATGTGCAAGGCAAACGCCCTACCTACGCTGTGCTATCTCTCCAGCCCCAGCAATTACTCGTGGTGGTGCTAGGGGACCCTATATGTGTGCCTTGTAATCATGCTAATCCATTTTATTATTTCTCTGGTTTGAGATAGACTTTTATTACATTTTGTTTTGTTTTTGTTTGGTTACCACACCTGGCAGTGCTCAGGCCTTACTTCTGGTTCTGCACTTAGGGATCATCTTGGCAGTGCTCAGGAAGCCATATGAGGTGCCGGAGATCAAAACCGGGTCAGCTGTGGGCAAGGCAAGTGCCCTACCCACTCTACTATCTCTCCAGCTTCTGAGATACTTTTAAAAATCAAGTCAGGTTTATCCTGGTTTTACTAACTTATTCAATAATTTGATTCTTCCTCCTGACACATGTATCTCCTCCTCCTATAGGGAGCTCTGTTCTTTATATATTTTATATATTTTTCTAAACTAAGTTAAACATAAGATTATTTCAGTTGCTATACCAACACTGCTACCAGGCACAAGTTTACTAAGAATATTTCAACATGTCTTTGGAGTTCTTTCTATTTTTTCACGTTTTCTACTAAGAAGGAACGAATGACTTTTTCTCTTTTGGGGTGTGTGACCACACCCAGTAGTGCTCAAGGCTTGCTCCTGACTCTGGTCAGGGCTAACTCCTGGTAGCTCATATGGGGTGTTGAGGATGTTGAGGGTCAGACCCAGGTCAGTTTCATGACTTCGCTTACTACCTTCCTGGCCCCCCAGAAAACCTTTTCTGAGAGTATTTGGTATCTTTTCCCCCCTTCTGTATCGTTATATTACAATTTTCTATATACAAAACCCAAAATTAATAAATAAAAGAACCAGAGCAGTAGTACAAAGGCTGACCCGACTTCCATTCTCAGTACTCCATGTGGTCCCTTGAGTGATTCCTGAGTGAAGAGCCAGGAGTAAGCCCTAATCATTGCCTGATGTGGCCCAAACTGCCTCCCCCCAATCAATGGGTGCAAGCACAGGGGGATATGGCACTTACTTTGTATGCAGCTGACTTTGGTGCCAGCCCCAGCATCATGTGAGATCCCCTGAGGACCACAGCACTAACCCCTGAGCACTACCTGGTGTGATCCCAAAACCAAAACTTGAAAACATAACTTTAAAAAGCATTCTCTCCCCCAACATGTTTTGTTTATATTTATCTTTTTTGTTTCTTTTTGTTTGCACAAATAGCTACATATGTTTATTCCTAACTCCCTTTCTCAAACAACAGATAACATAATTCATTTGCACCTAACTTTTGTCTTTACCATATGGCGGGTTATCATTCTTTACCAGTTCATAGGATTCATCCCTTTTTTGTTGTCTTGGGGGCCACACAAGGCAGTGCTCAGGGGCTACTCCTGGCTCTGCACTCAAAATCACTCCTGGCGGTGCTCAGGGGACCTATGGGATGCCAAGGATCGAACCAGGTCACTGCAAATGCCCTACCCATTGTGCTATAGCCCCCGCCTGTCCCTCTTTTAGCAGCTGCTTGGTATTAAGTGCTAGGGGTGGGGAGATATGTGACCTTCCCTTCAGCTATGCTGGTGATTCTTTTGTGTGGTGTGGTCACCCCTGACAGGGACAGATTTTTTTTTTATTTTTTGGTTTATTTGGGTCACACTTGGCAGTCACCATCACAATCATCCTGTTGTTCATTGATTGCCTCAAGCAGGCACCAGTAACGTCTCCTTCGCCATGGCCCTGAGATTTTAAAAAGTGCCATATTCAAGACTCTTTCAGGGTTAGGAGAATGAGACCCATCATTGTTACTGGTATTTGGCATATTGGGTACACCACGGGGAGTTTGCCAGACTCTGCCGTGTGGGCAGGCTACATTCGGCAGCCTGCCAGGTTGTCCAAAGTAAGACACCTGGCAATGCTCAGGGGTTAACTTCTGCTTCTGCACTCGGGGATTATTCCTGGTGGTGTGGGGGTACCATATGGGATGCCAGGAATCAAAACCAGGTTGGCCATGTGCAAGGCAAACACCCCACTCAACCTGCTGTACTATCGCTCCAGCCTCAGGGACATTTTCTCTGAACTATCAGATGACAGTTGAGATTTTAGGAAGTAGGGAGCTGACCAGAACCAGGGGTCTCTTGAGAAGAGTAGTATTTCATTCAGCCCGAGATAGGGTTCAAGCACTTTCTCAGTGTTTCCCTACCCCCCTCCAGCTCCCTCACATCCTTCCCTTTTGTTGTGGCTGGGAGATACCACATACGCTTTAGTTGTGGCGCTTGAACAAATGTTACACTCTTGATTGTACTTCATTGTGGCACTGAGCATGGCTTTGCTGCTATCTGTAGAGCCCTGGATGGGACCCATGGCCTCCTGCCCCTGACCACTGAGCACACCTGACCCAGACTGCCTGCTATATTGCATGGATTCCAAGGAGAACAGGAAGTTCAAGAGGTAGTGCAGTGGGGAGGGTGCTTGCCTTGTATGAGGCTGACTTGGGTGCAATCCCGGGCACCACATATGGTTCCCCAAGCACCATCAGGAATGATTCCTGAGTGAAGAGACAGGACTAACCCCTGAGCATCACCTGCGCGGCCCCAAAACAAACAAAAACATCAAGGGTAGAGAGAAGAGAAGTTGGGGACCCTCAAAGACTTTCACTTTCCCAGCAATGAAATGGGAAGCTTGGCAAGATTTGAACAGGGATGACTGAAATAACGACCTGAGTGTTTTAAAGAACTGTTTTGGGTGCAGGATAGAGAATGTGGGGGTGGAGGGATCTTGGAGGGGAGAAGCAGGGAGACCAGTTAGGAGTGGGAGAGTGGAAGCGAGAAGTGGAGACACCGTCGTGTGTGTGTGTGTGTGTGTGTGTGTGTGTGTGTGTGTGTGTGTGTAAAGTGCAGCGTCGGGCTCTGGGTGCCAGTGGTAGGACATGCTCTGGGTGAGGAGCAAAGTAGAGCCTGTGGTGGCGCATCTATCCATCCGCAGCGCCTGTGAGGCTCTGTGCTATTGACCTTTC